TAAGGAAATATACGGCTCACCTGAGGTCATTGAACAGGCTCTCTTTGACAAGCTAGAAAGCTTCCCCAAACTGACCAACAAAGACCCAAAACGACTCAGAGAGTTAGCAGACCTGCTGTTAGAGCTTGAGGCTGCTAAGAGAGATGGCTCCCTCCCAGGTCTGTCATATTTGGATACTTCCAGAGGGGTTAAGCCCATCATCGAAAAACTCCCATACAACATCCAAGAAAAGTGGATATCTTATGGTTCAAGATACAAACGTGATCATCAAGACAGTTTCCCACCTTTCTCTGTCTTTGCAGACTTTGTTCGTACAGAGGCAAAAGCTCGTAATGATCCCAGCTTCAACCTCTCCACGACAGTTCCTATGGAGAAAAAGAGTACGTGGGAGAAATCCACGAAGATGCCTGTATCTGTTCACAAGACACAAGTGTCGTCTGCTGACAGATATGAAAGCAGAGAGGATAAGAAGCTAACAGACCCAAACAACCATTGTCCTCTACATAAGAAACCACACCCTCTGAAGAAATGCAGAAGCTTTAGAGAAAAGAGTCTAGAGGAGCGCAAACAGCTCTTAAAGGAACATTCCTTTTGCTTCCGGTGCTGCTCCTCTACTGGTCATCTCGCCAGAAACTGCACGGCTGAGGTGAAATGTATAGAATGTGGGAGCACGGGTCACGTGTCAGCACTACACCCAGGACCAGCAGTCTGGAAACCTAAGCCCTCTCCTCCCTCTTCAGAGCACGGCGGGGAGGAAGACAAAGCAGACTATCAGGTCACATCAAAGTGCACACAAGTGTGTGGTGAAGGTGTTAGCGCACGAGCATGCTCGAAAATATGCCTTGTAAGTGTGTATCCAGCTGGTCGCTCGGAAGAGGCCAAGAAAATGTATGCAATACTGGACGAGCAGAGTAATCGTTCCTTGGCACACTCTGAGTTCTTCAACGTTTTCAAAATCACAGGGCCTTCCTTCCCTTACACACTGGAAACATGCGCTGGACTAACTCAGACAACAGGGAGAAGAGCTAGTGGGTTCACAGTGGAATCAGCAGACAAAAAGCTAAGCTTTCCATTGCCTTCACTTTTAGAGTGCAACCAAGTTCCCAACAACCGCTCCGAAGTCCCTACGCCAAATGCAGCTCATCACCATGCTCACCTGAAGTGCATTGCCGACGAAATACCACCTCTCGATCCTAACGCTGACATACTCCTCTTGCTGGGCAGAGACATTCTCAGGGTCCACAAGGTCCGTGAGCAGATAAGTGGTCCAGACAACGCACCGTTCGCCCAAAGGCTGGACCTGGGATGGGTTGTCGTTGGTGACGTGTGTCTAGCAGGTGCTCGCGAACCACTAGAGGTGAACAGTTACAAGACGTCTATCTTGGAGAATGGTCGTACTAGCCATCTGCAGCCATGCAACAACCAACTCAAGGTAAGAGAAATCTTCAATCAAACCCCTGACTACACACATCATCCAGCACTGACCTCTAAGTTCAGCACAGCAACACATGATGCAGACAGTCTGGGTCAAACCATCTTCACGCAAACTGCCAAAGACCACAAACTAGCCCCATCCGTAGAAGATATGAAGTTTCTTAAGATCATGGAAGCAGAGTTTCATCAAGACAGCTCGAAGAGCTGGGTGGGACCACTACCTTTCCGGTTACCAAGACAGAGGCTGCCTAACAATAGGAAACAAGCACAAGATCGTTTTGCCTCATTGAGACGCACGCTGGAAAAACGGCCACAGATGAAAGCCCACTTTCTAGAGTTCACAGCAAAACAAATACGGTCTGACTGCGGCACTAACTTCGTTGGCGCTTCTCGAGAGTTGCAAATGAAGACTACAGATCCCAGTGGCAACAACGTGGAGAAGTACCTGAGCACGCAGAACTGCACATGGGTGTTCAACCGGCCACATGCGTCCCACATGGGTGGGGCATGGGAACGGATGATTGGCATCGCTCGTCGCATTCTTGACTATCTGCTGCTTGAACAGAAGAAGTCTTCTTTGACGCATGAAGTTCTGCTTACGCTCATGGCTGAGGTGACAGCAGTCATCAATGCTAGACCTCTCATTCCAGTATCTTCAGATCCAGAGTCACCTCTCATCCTCACCCCAGCAATGCTCTTGACCCTCAAAACAGGCTCTACACCACCTCCTCCAGGTAACTTTGAAGAGGCAGACCTCTTTAAAGAGCAGTGGAAGCAAGTTCAGAGCCTGGCGGACACCTTTTGGAGTAGGTGGAGAAAAGAATATCTCAAGACTCGTCACAAGTGGCGGTCTAGGTAGAGATCTCCAAGGACAAGACCAAAAGGATCTTTTCTCGTCCTGTTACAGAAGTGGTCCTGCTTCTGTCTCCAAAGACTGATTCTTGTTGATTGATCTGGGGTTTAAAAACCCCAGGCGGGGAGTGTTCTGTCCTTGATGTGTGTTTTTGGTGTATATCTGTCGTATATGTGTTTTCTTGGCTGTGTTTTGGCACCACCTTGTGGTGGTTGTTTGACACTGCTGCTTTCTAGTAGTTTATTCGATTCCTGTTGCTAGGAGACCAAACTTGTTCGTTCCCGGGTGTACTCCACGTGTAGCTTGGGTTGTTTCATGAACGGACGTCTGCTCTCCATGGGCTGTGCTTCGTATTTCCCGCTGGTTCACGCATCGTCTGTGAGTGTTATTGTCCGACAGACTGTGGCTTCATGGGAATATGTTGTATGTAAAATGTTTATGTTTGTAGGAATGCAGTGAGTATTCTTTGCGGCTAAGCTACTAGCAGCTAGGCTGATTAGCTTCTCAGTTTGTGCACCGTAGCTCATTGTGTGAAGTATTCTGTCTATTTAGCTCGTCAGTCGGGCAGTCAATAATAAACTGTTATGTCTGTATTGTCTTTACAGTTTCAACAAGTAAAGAGACTTCAACTGACAACTGTGCTGGAGTTTTCTTTCAAACGGTTTAACTGGATGGATAGCTAGCTCAGTGCTAGTGAGACCCTTACAGTACCTGAACCACATAGATATAGAGTGCCATTGAGATATCATACACCAGAACAACATCGAGTTGTTACACCTGAGAGAGAAACCAGACAAGAACCACCAGAAGAACGGACTGATGAGGAAGACCTGCCTGTGGATTCTGAAGCACCGGAAGAGCATGAGGATGTACAAGTACCCTATGGCTATGACCGACCTGTGACACCTCAGGATGAGCCAGTGAGGAAATCCACACGGGACAGGAGACCTCCTCAAACGCTGACATATGACTCCCTTGGTCAGCCATCCTCCAGATCATGTGGGCCTACAGACCCAGTGGGACTATATACTGTACAAGCCCTGCCATTCTGGGGAATGCAGCCCCTTCCTATGCCACATTACACTACACACCAGACACTGCCTTACACTACACACCAGACACTGCCTTACACTGTAATGCTGCCATACATACATGCATATTGAGAAGGAAAGATTGTTACACCCACTCTCATACATATTTTATTCACCTGTACATTTAAAGAAGTGCCCTTGTGAGAGTGTGTATAAGTGTTTTAAGTTCAAAGAGAAGGGGCACAAGTTAAGAGGTTGATGGTTAATGTCGGGAGCCATTTTTCTTTGTCGGGGAGTGTGTGACCCACACAAAGTGTAATCACAATTGTATGTTTATATTTAATATGATTTTATATGACCTGTTTAACAATGGACAGCAGGGGGCAGTAGATGGCAGGGTATCACTGCCGCAAAGGGGTTGGTTATTATTTACGCGTCTGCCGTAAAATGTCTGTGTGTTCTGTATTATCGATAGCCTATGTGCAGTCGTTCTTTAATTATTGTAAATGCTTGTTAGATGCTAATGCTAGCACATTTTAGACTAATGCTAATAGTTATCCTGAAAAGGTACTTAACAGTACATTCTTATTTTTAGTCATGAAGTTAATGACATTTGGTTATAGACAAATGTGTTTATTTTGAATACTTCAAGCATGTTAAAAGTATATTTTGAAGACATGAACATATAAACATGTGTTTATATTGAGAGTAGGAAAAGGGCAAGAACAATTGTGTTTTGTTTTGTGCCAATTGTGAATAAATTCTGGCAAGACCCGCCAAACGAGCAGCAAAAGGCATTCTCTGCTCATAATTTCTCCTGTTCTACAGGAATATAATCTGTCATCGCGCCCTGCATAGCGGGGCCTGCTACACATGCAGTACAAATATGTTATTTTTCTTTTATGAACAAACATCTTGTGAGTGAGTGGGAGGTCTTACCTGGAATTCTTTGATGAGATGGTGAACAGGTTCACCCAGGTAGATCATTAGAGATTGGAGGATGCATTCTCTTCTGATGGTGATGTCCACAGTCTGAGTAAGAACAGTTATATATATATTATAAATCAAATGCAAAAAAAAGGACTATTCAGCCACTGATCCCACAGATAAAAAACTCATTCATAGATACCTCATCTAAAACCTGCAAGATCCCGGTGGTCTTCTCTTTCACAACTCCTCCCCTGCTCCTGATGACCTGCAGCAGTTTAGTGGAGTGTTTGTCCAACTGCGCCAAGAACTTTGTTTCCAATGGAAATGTTGTTATGCGCATGAACTCAGCATTTACCTAGAAAATATAAGCAGCATAGAAAACAAAAAACACTGAGAATTTATAATACACATCTTTTCTATAAAGAGCCAATGGTTTGATTAAAAGTACTCCAAGTCAGCTTGTATGAATGTAACATTTAAATTAATTAATCCACATATTTATTGACACACAGCGGCAAACAACATGTTTGTTGCATAGCAACCACCTCGCACTATGTTTCGTGCAGAAGGCAACAGAGGGACTATTTTATTTTGAACATCATTATTTACTAATAAAAACTATTTAAATTAGAGTGTGTATTTTTCTTTCATATTGCCATATATACATACATATATATATTTATATATATATATCTCTATTTAAATGTCCTCACCTTGCAGGCCCTGTACAGGTGCTTCCTCTCCTTCGTCCTCCGGTACAGGGACAGGAAGATGAATCCGTTCCCTGCCGTGCCGTGGCAGAGTCCGTATCCTTTCCTCAGGAAACCTCTCTGCCAGATCACCTCCGAGCAGTCTGATGCCTCCTTCAGGTACTTCTCCTCCTGGAACACCTGAGAGAGAGACAGGTGAGAGACAGACAGGTGAGAGACAGACAGGTGAGAGAGAGACAGGTGAGAGAGAGACAGGTGAGAGACAGACAGGTGAGAGACAGACAGGTGAGAGAGAGACAGGTGAGAGACAGACAGGTGAGAGACAGGTGAGAGACAGACAGGTGAGAGACAGGTGAGAGACAGACAGGTGAGAGAGAGACAGGTGAGAGAGAGACAGGTGAGAGAGAGACAGGTGAGAGACAGACAGGTGAGAGACAGACAGGTGAGAGACAGACAGGTGAGAGAGAGACAGGTGAGAGAGAGACAGGTGAGAGAGAGACAGGTGAGAGAGAGACAGGTGAGAGACAGAAATGTTGTTGTTTGCGTTCACGAATTCGATTAATTGAACGACACTGCTCGACCCCCTGGAAAAGCTATAGTACATATATGCCAGTAGCTACTGACCATGCTACAGCACCAACATATGTGCTATATAAATAAAAAACCTGATTTGATGAACGGAAGATGAAATAAGTATCAAAAAAATCAATGTGCAATGAGTCAATGTTAAAATATCGAATTTTTGAAGGAAGATTTGAAAACGAGATCACCCGCTCCAAAGTGCCACACTCAGCACATTACGCCACAAGAACGCTTGTGCCAAACAATCAACGGAAGTTGTATTTAAAAATATTGTGAAGGAAGTCTGTCAGACCGTAAGTGGCTACGCAACAACAAGTACGCTTATATGTCCAATTAATCAATTAGTTGTATTTCTATTCAAGATATTCAGAAATATCCTTCAAAACAAAAGCTCGACAAATACTAACTCTTTGAAACACCATCAATAACTCCTCTCCTACGTCACATGCTTGGCCTGTCACTTTAAGAGTAGCAGCCGCAAGGGGTTGTGGGTTTTGGACTCTGTGTGTGTGTACAATGTGATGGCCAAGGCGAAGTGCGGAGGTATGAAGAGAGAGACGAAAGTCTAGAGAAACTAGTCAGAAAAGGAATAGTGTCTAGTCTGTATGTATGCAATACAGTGTCAATGTAACTGAAGAACGTCAATAAACGGAGGTTCTTCCCACGGCACCCGTTTGCATCCTTTTTTCCGCTCGAAATGTCTGGGCAGCTGGTTACAGGCTGACAACGAGCCAAGTCAGAAACATCCGGTGTGCATTAGAAACTACGGTTTCGGTGCCGACATACCGTTAGTAAAAAGGTAACACCTAGTTGCACGGCAACTAATTCTATCACTAACTAAGCACGGTTAATGTTGTCCCAGTGACAGCGCAAAGACAGTTGCAGCGGGGACAACGTCACCTCTGTCTCATTGTTCACTTTGAACATTCATAGGCTATAAGATAAACTAAACAACTCACGCATGTCATATTAGGTCATATATTACAAGTGCTTTGATATTGACTTGGTTCATACAAAAACATTAGACACATACATGATATGGACACTGAGCAAAACACTTTACATGCAGCCAGCCAGCCACTCACTCACACTGCAACATCACCCCCTGCTGTTCGTTATCAGACAAGAACGGAACATGACACAAGTATGAAGAAATGAATGTGGGAATAAACACATCAATAAATAAATGTGGTAATAAATACATGAATGTATAAATAAATAAAAGTGTTCAATAAAACACTTCATTATATATATTTCTGTACAAGTGGCATTTTATTGTTGGTAGCTAGCAGTGAGTCAATAATACTAGTAGTGATTTCAATAAGTTCTCAACAACTGCTGCATGAATGGTGTGAGACTCACCGTTGAGCGGCCCGACCAAGTAAGGAGCCAGAGGCACAAATCCCAAATACAACCCGCTGTGGGCCTTTATTAAAAATCATGAACACATGACACACAGCCTCAATCTGCTGTTTCTCCCTGCACACAGCCTGCAGCCAGCCACAAAGATCTCACACCCCGCTAACCCTACAAGCACAGCACCTACATACACACACAGACTAACAAGACACAGGTGAGGGGGGAGCAATTAGACACAGGTGAGGGGGGGAGGAGCCATCACAGGGCACCAGGTGAACACAATCCCAAACAGAGATCACCTCCAGTCCAGTGTAATAATGTATGCTGATGATTCCACAATATACAGTACAGCATCAACATGCAGTGAGTTAAACAATCTACTTAAAATAGAGATTAAAGCCATAGCAGACTGGGTCAACAATAACAAACTGGTACTCTACATTGCAAAACCAAAGTGTATTTGTTAATATACACCCCTAAAGTCCTATCCTATATCATGTGATATACATATCTTTATGTTACATGTTGCTCAGTATGATATGATAAACTGTGTTATATGCTGCTGCAGGAAGGATACTGTATATTGTAGAATATCTATTAAAGATAGCTATATACACAGTACTGTATATCTGCACTCACTCACACTGCAACAGCACCCCCTGCTGTTCCTTATCAGACATGCATGATAAGTGATCGTTGCTCAGTATGATAAACTGTGTTATACAGATGGAGCCTCTTATTTTGGACCCCAGCATACAGCTTCCTGCCGACTGCCAGTCAGTTGCCAGCCAGTTGCCTGCCAAAGACCAGTATTCAGAAATGTTAGGCCCTCCCACTATTCTCCAATTTCAGGGTTTAACCAGGAGATGGCGCTATATATTAAATAACTAAGACTTAGTTTTTCACAATAGAAAATGCAGATATTATATAAAAAACTAAAGTTAAAATCTTGTTTTTAATGCCCCAAGAGCAATAACATCTTGTCACAAGCTTTTTGGAAGAAAAAGACTGACTCAAGAGACCTGTAGTTGACTAATTACAGGCCTCAATAAAGTTCTGCCATTGGTTGTGAAAAACAACGGTGGACATAGTGGAAAGTGAAATTGACATTGTCGAATTTAATAAAAATACAAGATAATGTATCTGTGTACGTGTTTTACTATGTGATCTGCACTTATCAAACATCTAATTAAGGCGAGACACGAATTTAGGCACGTTAATAACATTTTAATGAAGTTGAATACAGTATATTCATATTTGTCAGTGATTTCATGTCAATTCGGCGAACATAAACGATTAAATTAGGATTAAAAATCGAGAGCCTGCTGCTGTTCGTTACGGTAACCCAACTAGGACACTTGACACAGTGGCTTTTGGCAAAGCACACAAAGAAAACAAAAAAACCCGAGAGAGATGAGTTATTGTTATTACAACGTGACTTCACTATTATTTAACAACTATTTTTATTGGGTTCTTTTATTTGGGGTTAAGTACATTGTCAGAATAAGTGAGAAATGGATTTAACTTCTGTTAGACAGCTATCATACTGAATAAATATTTATGCAAAAATGTATGGCATTAATAATGTATATCTAATTACATTTAAAAATGTATGGCATTAATAATGTATATCTAATTACATTAACTGTGAATGTCTTTCATTTGATTTAAAATGAAATAAAATTACATAAAACATTTTCCATAAAAAAGTTGATTCAAGAACAAATCAGTACTTTTCTTATATGACTATTATTGCTAAATTTGAAAGGTCTTTACCAGCTTTGGAATTATATATATATATATATATATATATATATATATATAGACCACTTTACATTTCTGCGAATGAATAGCTTAGCTACTTGGCACTAAGAGTACAGATATGTCTACCCTTTCTTTTCAGAGTGTAATATCTGCATTTTCTCTTTTGGTTTGAATAGGAGAAGGGCAATGGTTATCGATGGTGCTTTTAATGCCTATTGTATACGAACTGTGTGATTTATATTGCTTTTCAAATGCATATAAGCCCCCCATTCAATAGCACTTAGTTAGATCACTTTACAGATCAGGTTGGACCAGCCCTGTCGCTACTCTCTGCATTTCCTACTGCAGATAAAAAAAAAGCTACAAATATGTATTTCTTAACCCTTGTGCCCTCCTCGAATTTTCAACCTTTCGACCCCTTCGTGGCAAAAAATGTACACGCCCATAATAACTGCTATTAAATCATCATACATCAACATTTCTTTCTACTTTTTTTTTCATGAATCACTTAAACAACTTATAACGTACTCAAAACTACCAAACATTCAATCATTTTCAGGATTTTAACCCTTTAAATGCCTGTTTAATTAACTGAATTATTTCATTATTTATGACAAAAAACACAAAAAATGAATTTTTTTCAATATAATAATTAGTAGAGGGATGAAACTTTGGTGGTTATTAGAGTCTTGGATGTGTCAAAGATTAGCAATAAAATTGATTCGACTGCATTATTATTTTTTACGTAGTGTCAGATACTACCTCTGGACCCCTTCGTGGCAAAAATGTACACGCCCATAATAACTGCTATTAAATCATCATACATCAATATTTCTTTCTACTTTTTGTTTCATGAATCACATATACAACTTCTAACGTACTCAAAACTACCAAACATTCAATCATTGTCAGGATTTTAACCCTTTAAACGCCTGTTTCATTATTTTAATTATTTCATTTTTTCTTACGAAAAAACACAAAACATAATTATTTTTCAATATAATAATTAGTAGAGGGATGGAACTTTGGTGGTTATTAGAGTCTTGGATGTGTCAAAGATTAGCAACAAAATTAATTTGACTGCATTATTATTTTTTACGTAGTGTCAGATACTACCTCTGGACCCCTTCGTGGCAAAAATGTACACGCCCATAATAACTTCTATTAAATCATCATATATCAATATTTCTTTCTACTTTTTGTTTCATGAATCACATAAACAACTTCTAACGTACTCAGAACTAGCAAACATTCAATAATTATCTGGATTTTAACCCTTTAAATGCCTGTTTAATTATTTGAATTATTTAATTTCTCTCAAAAATGCCTCATTGACTTCCATTCAGACCACATTTGTTGATCTCACTGCCATTGCAGTATAAAACCATGCATTTTGTAATGTCAGCATTTCATTTAGAAGAAAAGTAGTGATATTTGATATTTCTACTCTATTCCAACAGATGAAACCATTTTCCCACTGTAGGCCGATGCATGAAATTCTTACATTTTTGCCAGTTATATTATGGAGCCGTGTGACTACCAGGGGGCCCCGAGAGTGGTGTACCCGAGAGTGGTGTATGTATGTATGTATGTATGTATGTATGTGTGTGCGTATGCGTGTGCGTGTGTTTGTGCGTGTGCGTGTGCGTGTGCGTGTGTGTGTGTGTGTGTGTGCGTGTGTGTGTGTGTGTCATTTCCAGCAGCAGACCAGCAGGTCCTGCAGCATGTGACCTGGTGCTCTCAGGTGATAGAACAACCATTTTTTAGGCCTGTGCACAACCAGCACACACCTCTCCTCCCTCTCCGTGTGTGTGTGTGTGAGAATCTGTAAGCATGCACAGATCATTTCATGGGAACAAAAGGCCATCTTTTGAGGGATGTGTTTGATGTGTCTTTGAAGAGCTGCTTGATTACTCAAAAACAAAAAACAACTGTTAGTGTGTTTATGCACCTGGCTACGAAAGATAAACATGCAGTTTGACCAAGGGCTTATTTCATTAGTGAGCAGAGAAGGAGAAAGACCTGGAGCAAAGAGAAGGAACTCAAATGAAGAAGCATGTCAGTGCAGAGGAGACTTCAGAAATAATCTTGTAGCCTTCTTCTGCCAGCGAGCTGCAGGACTCATCTGAAGAAGACACAAGGTTCGAGCTGGGGTCTGACACTGAATGCTTTCTGGAGTCCAGCATTTCTTTGAGTTCCTCTGACCCTTCATCTGAAAGTGGAGAGGACACTGAGGGTCCCGTCCACAGTGAGGGGACAGAGAAGAACGGAGGTCGTTCTCCCAGGAGCTGGGGAAAACCAGGGTGTCCTCACAGATTGTGAGAAGAAAGCCCCCTGTGATGGTGGATGATCACCAAATCAAAAAAAAAAGTCAGGAAAAATGTACAAAAATGCCCGAGGAGGGCACAAGGGTTAATAAACTAAATAGTATTCTGTAGATAAATGTAGATAGTAGATAGTATTCTGTAGATAAATGTAAACGTAAATAAATGTAAACGTTCACCATCCCCCACCCGCCCACTCACTGTTTGTTGCTTTTTGACATGTAAATGGTAACTACCCCCCTCTGAGTGAATACCTGTTGTACCTGTCCGGGGCTAAGCCCATAGGACGATGCTCTGATGTCATCACCCTCGCACATTGGTCATATGTTTACAAAAAACGATGTTAACACTTTCTCGTTCTTAATATATGCTATATTTAGGGTCGATATGTGTTGAATTTACTTTAAAATAGCAGATCACTGTGCATAAGCAGTCAGAGGAAACATAACGTTCTCAGTAAGATTCACGAGCGTCTAACTCTCTCCCCCCTCCCCCTTTTGAACTTTTCGTGAAGATGGCCTTATTCATTTTTAATACAACTGAGATGTTGGGCCGGTTGTAACTTTAAGACTATATATATAAATAATGTTTTATATAACATTATTGCCTCTGCATTGGATTATTATCGGATAAGGTAATAACTTAATAATTAACTATGTCTGAGAGCAGAAGTTTAGGGCAAATAATTTCAAATAATTGCAAGTCTCTTCAGTGCGCATGTCACAAGATGCATTATGGACATTGTGCCTTATTCTCATTCATACTTAATTTATTTCTTCTTCTGTCAGTATGAACACAAAAAACTAACCGGTATTACATTTCATTCTAAAGTTTACGGTCTAAAAAGGTATTTAAAACAGATAATTTGTCGTTGCTTTTGGCATAAGCAGTCAGAGGAAACATAACGTTCTCAGTAAGATTCACGAGCATACTGTAGATAGGCCGCAGATAGGCATAGTTTGTTCAATATAGGACCATAAGATTAGGATTTATTGTAGATTATTTAGTTAAATAAAAGCATGGTGATGTTTTATAATATAAGATTAGGATTTATTGTAGATTGATTTGTTAAATAAAAACATGGTGATGTTTTATAATATAAGATTAGGATTTATTGTAGATTGATTTGTTAAATAAAAACATGGTGATGTTTTATAAT